TGACCCCTGTGAAGGGTCGTTCCACCGCCAAAGGGTCGCGACCCACAGGTTGAGAACCGCTGCGGGCTTGAAGGGTATGGTTTTGCTTTTTTTCCCAAACGAAGGCGGCGATGTTTCCAGAGCAAAACCACCCTTGAAGGGTGCTGACAGGCCAGTTTTGCTTTTAAGAACCCCCGGAGAGCTCTCCTGGTGGCAGCGGGCCTGCCCCTAGCCGGGTTGGGGTGCTGGTGCTGTGCGTTTGTCATGGCTCGGAGTGGGCGCTGACACGTGTGGATCTGACCAGGGGTAAACATCCCCCCCCCCATGTTCTTCTCAAAAGTGACCCCACTGTTACTTCAAAACTGAACTAACCGGTAATAATCTCGGAGAGGTTTCTCTTACTCTCTCATGTGAATACATTGAACTCGAGAGTAAAAGCAGCTTTCCTCTCCGCGGTTAATATTTTGTCAGACTCGCTCGAGCCGCGATGGATTTTGTCTGTGCGTGTCGCGTGCAGCCCTGCCTTCCCAAGTTAGTCCCAGGGGCTGCTGTGATTGGCATTTTGGTCAAGTTCCAGCAAGTTAAGGAGGAGTTTTTCCTCTTTCCCAAGAAAGTAGTTTGCAGAGCTGAGTTCTCCAACAGCTACAGAACCATCTCTTTATTGAGATCCCAAACCTCCTCGGTGTTCAGCCTCCTGCTACCCCTTCCCGTGTATCCCTAACTGTAAGTTACTGTCTGAAATGAAACTCCAGCCCGACGGAGTGAAATGGTTACTGCTTCTCCTCTCTTCTGTGCCCTAACTTCTCTCAGTGCTTTTCTCCTGGGGTAGGAATGACGGTGGACTGAAGGGTTGGAACATTTATGCCGCGTGTGCTGTGGAAGTGGAAGTTTCTGTCCAGCTCTGCCCATTCTGCTCTGCCTTACACTAAGGTTGTCATGAAGAGAGGAACATTGTGGAGCTTCTCTTCCTGTGGTGAACATTCAGGCCGCATCTTAAATGACAATTAAAACTTCACTTTCGAGGCCACTGGGAAGTGAGGAAACTGAAGGTTGTATGCAGATACTTTTCCATTCTAAAGATCAACTTAAGGTTTTTGTTTTGAGAATGGCCTCCTTAATATCTAGAAGAGAATGACAAAGGAGATGACAGCTAGGAAAGTATCAACATTAGCACAACTGAGGCTTGCTCATAGATGATGATTGAAGTCAGTGAAAACCAGGTACTGTGCTCGTGCTGTTTTGGGTTTTAGTAAAAGTAGGAGTAAAAAGTCTTATCTGCTAGTTTAGGGTTACTTTTTCTTTTTTTACTAGATATCAATTTAGTTTGAAGTATTTCAAGTCCTTTAAAATGTTTGAATTACAAAGTCTTTTTCTTATCACTAATCTGAAGTAGCATTTAGAAATGTACTAATAATAGTGTCCTTTTTTGCGTGTAGTTTGATGACTATCTTTCACTGGAAGGATTTTTATCTTTAGAAACTGGTTTGTCTGTCCTTGGCTGCTGTGCATGGTGCTTCTGTTGGGAGTGGGGAGGAAGAGTTTCAGCGAGTTTCCTCTCCTTGTTCCTAAATCCTGGGAATGGAGCCTAGATTTAGTTCCCCCACAGAGGAATAACCATTTATTACAATGGCAGTGAACATTTTCAACACCCTAGTGAATATATCTGTATTCTTAGGTTATTGTAGAAGTTGCTTGTGGCCAGTTATTTGCTTTCTCAATTAGCTACCATTCTGTTTGGGCCAATATTTTGATTTGCCGTGCATCTTTTTTCTCTTGCTACTGTCATAGAAGTGTTTGTCTTGGGTATCCATTCATCCTGTCATATTTAGCAGTTGAGTATCAGAGAAGACTAAGGATTCCTTGCTTTTGAATTTTGCTAGTTTTCACTTTTGTTGCATTTACAGGTGTATTTTATTTGGCAAAACTGACTTCTGTACATTGAAATTTTTTTTAATCTCATTTTCCTACTTGGAGATGTTAAATATTTTGATCTGCAAATGTAGTTAAATCACATGTTTATTCTCAGAGTAAAAACACTAACAAAATATTAATACACATAATACATTTTTCTATTACAAAGGAGTTGTTAATGTAAAAACATTCAAACCTGTAAAAAATTTTTGTGAGTTTATTTAAGCCAAACTGTCGACAGTTGCTGGGAAGCAATATCTCAACGGATTGGGATAATGCTTCAGAGAATGGCAGTTTTTTAAATCTATTTTTATACATTGCAATTAAAGGAGGGGATGTAGGTGGGTTCCATGAAATCCACTGGTGATAAATTAGAGAGGCGGGAGAAAGCAAAGCGGGGAAACCTCTGGGATTGGATAAAAAGTAAAATGATAGACACATACTTAGGTGGGTGCAGGATAATTAGCAGTCTACAATTAACATGATAACATTAACAATGAAGGAATTTATGGTCTCCTGTCCTCTCGCCCAGGGCATTTGGTTGTGGCCCAGAGGTCGAGGAAAAAGGGAAGTTACATTTCATTGGTATGTTATCTTAGATGCAAAAAGATAATAGGCTCAGTTAAGGGAAAAACTGACCTTGTCAGGAAAATACCGGCCTAGGACATGGCTACCCACCGTAACTGCTTTTAGTTAAAGCTTTAATTTCAGACCATCCTTTGTGGTTACTTTAAGTCTTTTTAAGTTTGCAAAACTGCCATGCAGGCCTTCCCTGAGCTTGTCAGGTTAGCATGTGGCCTCCCCTCCCTCCCCAGAGTTGAAGCTTTAAAAAAATATATATTACTTGTTAGGTTTAAGGAAAAAAGCTTAATTAGCACAATTGGCAAGATTAGAAGTCCTGCTTTTTGTTGTTAAATTCACCCGGTAACTCAAACCGAGATTAGCTGGGTAGACAGATTTCCAGGTGGGGAGTTTCCTCCAGGTTTTGGAAATAAACAGATCGCAAAACAAGAGGTAAGGTAAGGTATTGATCATTTCAACTGAAATAAGTTTGAATGGAAGAAAAATGATTCAAAATAATATAAAATTCAATATCAAAGTTAAGACTAGAATTCTTTCTCAAGAAAGAAAGTTAATTAAGAGCTGACAGTGGAAGACAAGTGTGACACGCCGAAGTGAAAAATTTGAAAGAGATCTGAGGGATACTGTTTACCAAGCAAAAGAACAATTTCACACGCCCAGGCTCAGTGATGGGGTACAGAGGGAGGGGATGGCAGAGGGACTGAGCTGGAAGAAATGCTTTCATTGTTTTTGAAGAGCTGGAGAATTGTCTAGAGAACGTAAATAATCAGGTGTCTGCATGGAGCGCTTAGTAAATGTGCAGTATTTTAGGTTTATTACCTGTCCCCCATCCTGTGTTTCACTCTCCACTTTTAGGATACAATTTGTTAGAGCATGAGAAGGTCTAAAAAATTCTATGACTATGTGGTTTTAAGGTTTCAATCTCAGTAAAAGGGCATGACTTTAGTACCAATAGTTTTCTGTTAAGCACAATTAAGAGGTTAGGATTAGTGTTGAAAAAGACTCATTAATGTCGCTTTTACCATAACATGTTTACTGATGACTAATAAAGTTTCTCGTTTGTTGAGTGTAATGCTTTAGTATCGTTCCATGTCATGGTTACTGAAGTGGTTTCTGCAGTTTTTCCGTCTGTGACAAGACTGTGGCCTTGCAAAGATGAACGTGGGCTCTCCGGGATTGGGCGGAAGCTCATTTGGAAGTTTTGCTCCCATTCCACATTTAAGCTGAGGCCACTCCTGTGTATTTGAGCAAGCCAGCAAAATGTTCCTATACTTTTAAAGGCTGTAGAGAGAAAAACCTTCACTCTAAGGCAGCAGTTCTCAACCTGTGGGTTGCGACCCCTTTGGCGGTCGAACGACCCTTTCACAGGGGTCGCCTAAGACCATCCTGCATATCAGATATTTACATTACGATTCAGAACAGTAGCAACATTACAGTTATGAAGTAGCAACGAAAATAATTTTATGGTTGGGTCACAACATGAGGAACTGTATTTAAAGGGCCAGAAGGTTGAGAACCACTGCTCTAAGGGAATACTGTTATTTTGAATTTCGGAAATGACAACACACTTTTAGACCCTTATAAGTGGGTTGGTTTTGAGCTGAATCCATGAAATATCAGTAAAGTTTGCCATCAAGGTATGCTGTGAGGCTGTGCCACCACCTCAGTTTGTCACCTTTCATAAAGTTAATTAACTTCCCTAAATTTCACCTTTCTCATCTGTAGAGTGGACATAGTATCTATGTTCATCTATTGTATGAAATGCTTACCTCAACTCTAATATAGTAAATGCCCAAATGACACAGTTTTGACCAATGCAGTCATGCTGGGAACCTGCACTAGGGCTCTGGCAGGGATGACATAGTTCCAATAGCCTAGAAACTGCATGAAAGTTAGCATGAATACTTGTGTTTAGGTTCAAAAACTCAGTTAATATAACACATCTGTCTTGCTGAAGATCAGTATATGTAACAAAAGATTTTAGTTGACTACCATTTTTATCCCAAAGGCTGTGGGACCACCTCTCACTCACATTTGCATTTCAATTTAGATACTCAAGGAATGTGCACTGAACGAAGGAATGCCTTCACTTGTTCACGTGGCTTGTGGAAAAGCTGGTGCAGTAGTAGACCTACAGCTGCAGTTATATTAGTAACATTTCCTTGAATTGAGTTCCAGGAAGGCAGCAGTCCCACTGCACGGTGCCCCTCTCAGAGCACATCTGAAAGGTTCTGTTGACAGATATATTATACTTCAGTGAACAGTATACTTTTTTTAAAGTGGCTTTGTCCACTTCTGAGAAGTATGTCTTGAGGGCCTGTTAAGTCTGGAGACGAGAAGGCTCTGCAGGGCACAGAAAGCTGTCTTCAAAAATTTAAAGAGTGGCTTCTCGTTTAAGGCAGAATTGGGACAGGCGAAGGGAACAGTGAATTTTCCAGCAGTGTAGGACAGGACTCCCAGGTTGAGACTACCTCGGAGGTGAGGAGCAGCAGGTGTGTGGGGAGCCAGGACACCCCTCAGAACATTGGGTCTCTGCCTTCCTCTGCCACTTGAACCTGAGGTGGTGCACTTGTTAGGGATGACAGGCTCTGCCCTGCCTCTCTCAGGGCTTTCAGACGGAATTTGACAGTGGTTAGCAAAGCACTTTGACAGCGCTAGCTGCTCCGTCACATCAGACGTCGTCGTTTTACACATTTGCGGGGTTGAGGGTTAGCACAGGTAACTCCAAAGGTCTCTTCCAAACGTGAAAGTCCATAATTCTAGAATCCGTACGGGAGAAATGTGGGTGGTTTCAAGGTAATTTCTTGACAGATACAGCTATTCCTTTATACTTCCCAGTTTTCTTTTTCCCTATCAGAAAGATATTATAGGAAATGATTACTAGTGTTCATGATACCAAATGATTCTTTGCTTTATGAAAGGTGTATTTTTTTTGCAACTTCCTTTAAATAGGAACCTCATTTTAATTTAAGTGTATTTACAACTTAATACAACAGCAGTTTAAAACTAAAATCATTAATGTGTCAAAAAGTCAATCAGAAATGTAAGTATCTCTAAAATTGTGTAAATTAGTGGAAAATAGCAAGAAACATCTGTATTTTTTTAAAACATCAAGTTTGGATATATGTATACCTATTTCTATCTGTATGGACAGCCCAAATTATTCTGTATGAAGATTTCAAGGCACTTACATGTAATGTATAGGTCTACCTTCATCTTTGTACTTAAGTACCTCCTGAGTTGAAATTAATTCCACCTTCTTGCCTGCCTGCTTGCCTTGACTTCTTGGTACTTTTGAGTTGTGGCCCTTTAGGACCCCCTTTGATAGAGATTGGAATGATGGGTGTTAGTTAGCCACTTAAACTGGTAAAAATTAGCGTGGCTTGACTGTACTGTTAGTCCCTGCCACCGTGCAAAGTGAGAACACATTTCTGATACACACTAGTTTCAGTTAGCATGGTACCATGCAACGCGAAGGCTGTATATACTTTATCAGTTCCTGTAGGAGAGAAGAAAACATCACACAGTTAAATACTTTTTAATCTGGGAATGCTTTCATTTTCCTAAGCCATCATCCTATAATTTGTGCTTTTAATTCAGAATGCAGTAATCTGATCCTAATGGCCTGCAAAGTATTTTAGTGAGATTCTTTTCTTCCTACACAAAGATTAGGCAGGCTCTCACACTCCCTTCAAGCACGTTTTACAGCTGGGTGCCTGAGGTAGGGGGCCATGCTCTCCTTCAGTCAATCCAGCTGTAAAGTTGGATGCATTGAAAAAAAGCAGATGCTGGGTTTGTGCTAAGATTTCCCAGATAAATTGCCAAATAAGTGTAATCAAAAATGTTTATTCTAGTTTTGTTTAGTTGAAAGCAACTGAAGAAAAATACAAATATACATCCTTTCCATTTAGAATTTTTGAAAAAAGAAACCTCATGCAGCTGAATTCCATCTCTGTCTGTTCAGTATGTGTGAACTATACTTTGTAAAAATGGGTTAAGTAAGCATCCAGTACTCTCCCTCCCCACCACCCCAACCATCAGGCAAGGTCCCTAAATGCACTTTATCTTATTTTTCCTGACCCGCTTCCACTACACAGAATATATGTAAAAGAATCATATTGGTCAGAAGTGGTTGTTGATTACAGATGCCACTTGCATATTAGGGATTTAAATAATAATTGAGTATGCATTTTATCGTCTTTGTTTTATTTCTTGATTTTGTTCTTTGGAAATGTAATACTTTGTCTTTTTATTTCTTTGCAGTCAGAAAATGGGTAAGAAGAGTCGAGTAAAAACACAAAAATCAGGCACTGGTGCTACAGCAAGTGTGTCACCAAAGGAAACCTTGAACCTGACTAGTGAACTACTGCAGAGTAAGTTGTGCTCTTGGCCTTCCCGCCTTTCTGTGGGGCGTGTGGTTTGTACTCCTGCGTCTGCAGTGCTGCTTGGGAACATCAGCTGTCCCCTGAAGCATGAAGTTAGCCATGTGACCTGGGCAAGTTACAGTACCTCCTACCTCGCAGTCTCCCCACCTGTAAAATGGAGCTGCTGCTACTTGTGGGGCCCGTGTAACTATAACGAAGCCTGGATGACATACTGAATGTGAAGCCTCTGTGGCACAGGCTCCCAGAACGTAGGCTTCCCTGGGCACCAGCAGACAGCAACAGTCTCAGCTGTTTTTAATAGTGTGGCCTCAGACCAGTTGAACCCCTCTGACTCTCAGTGTTCATCTCAGTAAATAAAGACCACCTTGGGAGTGTAATGAGGACCGTGTGAGCGAGGGCACGTGAGGGTGGGTTATGGGCTGTTAAGCCCAGGGCGAGCAGCATGCCTCTCAGAGAGCAAGCCTTTGGCATGGCTTTTTCAGTGATTCAGTGATTATTTTCACATGCTGATGTCATGCGTTGTTGGTTCAGGGAAGTTAAATTCTTGCTTTACTAAGTTAGTGTAAACTAGTAACTTGTTTTTTAATTGTAAATTTAAATTGGTAGTATGTATATTTCAAATTTAGCTGTGGTCACTCTATTAACTAATTACATCTGTATCATTTTCTTTGCCCCTTATGTTTAGACTAGAGGCCCGATGCACGAAATTCGTGCAAGGAGCTTGGCCCTTGAAGCTCCAGCTTCTTCTAGAAGGTCATCCGGAAGGATGTCCCAAAGGTTGTTCAGCTGTCCGGTCTAATTAGCATATTATGCTTTTATTATTATAGATTATGTGACAGCCCAAACCCCAAATAAAAATTTAGTTTTCTCTCCTTGACAAACAGGCAGCAACCAAGTCTGGGTTGGGTCCCTCCCTGAGTGCTCCCATGAACACCTAAATCCCCCTCCCACCCAAGAGCAACGTGGGCCTTCCACAGAGCAGTGATGTACTAAATGCTTACCACCTGTCTCCCCCACTAGCCTGGAGGCAGCTTGAGGACAGGCTCTGTCTTGTATTCCAGGGCCTCAGCCAGTATTTGTGGATGGAAAAATGTATAAGACTGGTCAAACTTAATAGTTATGAGTCAGCATATAGCTATTGTTAATTATTTACCACATATACTCCTTTCCTTGGAGAACAAAGGGGGCCAGGAGGTTTAGCAGGGGCATGGGAAGGGCTCTCTCTTTAAACTGATACACTTGTTTAAAAAGGAAAGGGCTGTTGGCAGGTTGGGTGGGTGCCCTGTGCATAGCCTTCTGAAACGCCTGCCCGGGTCTCGGGTGTTGGTCCTTCAGTTCTGGTCCTGCTGTAGAATCTCAGCTTCTTTTTTAGCAGTGACTGTGCCGGCTCTTTTTGTGACTCCCCCAGAGTGCTTAATATAGCGCCTTACACATGGATGTGAAATGTTTGTTGATGAATTGTCCTTATGTCCAATTTCCCTTAGGGAGCCATTGTTATGGGGTTTAACTAGAAAGAAATGTTAACTTTCAATATTACCTGCTTTTAACATCTGGAAGAGTTTTCAGGGCAACGTTTTGCATTTTAGCATAACTTTTTAGATTTTCCTGTTCACAAGTATGTTCTGAGGAAAATGTATCAGCAGCAAGAGATAGATGTAAGCCAGGTGCAAACACTTAGGTACTAGAGTCACGGTTGAATAGGTGGCATTTAAATTGTGTCAGAGGGTTTATATGCTTTGAAAAGTATACCTGATTTATGCTTCTCATGTTTATCATCACAGCTGTAGTATCTTTGTCCTTTAAAAATAAATAAATCAACAGCAACAACCCAAATCCTCCTCCTTCTGAAGACCACAGGTTAAGTGGAAGGAAATGTTTGAGACTGTGGCTTTTGTGTTGCAGAATGCAGTAGCCCTGCTCCCGGCCCAGGGAAAGAGTGGGAAGAATATGTGCAGATCCGGTCTCTAGTGGAGAAAATACGGAAAAAGCAAAAAGGTACATTTTCTGGAATGATATTTTAAGAAAATTGTGCAGAGACTTGGCATAGGTCAGAAAGGTGTTGATAGTAGTTACAGTCTGGGTTATTCATCCTCCCTGCTAGGTCCTTGTCGAGGGAGGGGCTGCTAGGCTGGGAGACATCGGACTCTCTGGAGCTTCTCATTTCTGAGATGCCATCACCTGCTCTGGGAGGGGAAAACCGTTGAGTTTTAGGGGGGAAATGTTTGTTTCTGGGAGCTAAAATGACACAACTTTCATTTACCTTTACTCTCTGAGATATGTATTTAAATCTGTTTGCCCATACTGCTTCCTTCAGGGTTTGGGGTCAGTCTCTAATGCTGTGCATGGCCAACACACACGTATATACTGATTGGTTAATGTTTATCAAGATTTATGATTAACTCAATCATGTTTTGATTAAAAAAGAGATGTAGTTCTGTTTCCCAAGCTGTGTTTTACAGGGTATATTCAGGAGACATCAGAATGACTCTCAGCCAGGCTGGCAGTGGGGCCAAGTATCAGATGAAAAAGCCTATTCAATATTCCTATTGTTTTTGTTCTATAAAGCACAAAAAGTTAAGATTGGTATTCAGGGCCACATGGGAGGTGGAAGGAGAAGGCATAATAAGTAGCCTGCCTTTAAAAGGATGAGAAAAACCTACTTGGGCTCCCTGTTTGTTTATTTATTGTCATGGAAGTGAGTCAGAAGAGAGTTTATTTGCTCTCTGAAGCAGGAGCTTTATGGTTCCCCATGCACACCTACAACATGCAGCCTTCGGGTTAGAATTCAGTGGTTCTCAACCTGTGGGTCGCGACCCCTTTGCCGGTCGAACGACCCTTTCACAGGGGTCACCTAAGACCATCCTGCATATCAGATATTTACATTACGATCCAGAACAGTAGCAACATTACAGTTATGAAGTAGCAACGAAAATAATTTTATGGTTGGGTCACAACATGAGGAACTGTATTTAAAGGGCCAGAAGGTTGAGAACCACTGGGTTAGATGGTCAAACCCCACACAGTGACAGGCCCCTTTATGAGGTGTTTATCTGCACCAAGTGTAGACTGCTAATCCTGGCTCACCAGACATGGGGCTGAAAAGTTTTGTATATCCTGTGTGTCTTCTGAGTAGAGACTGTGTACTACAGCTGACACCGAAGTCAGGCACTCATTTGTTCTCTTAGGTTTTCCTAACAAAAGCAGTTTTCTTCAATTAGCAAGGATATGCGTACCTAGCCTGGCAGTGCACCATGCTAGGTGATCCTGCGCCACACCTCTAGCTGGCCTTCAGTTACATGGTGGTGACACGGCCATGGCACCACAGGGCTAACTTCCACGCCCTGCTCCTCGTGTTTAATAAAGTTTCTGTTCCTCTCCCTTTATTCATCAAAAAAATAATGGTTTTTCCTATGCATGGCTTTTCATCTTTAAATTACTCCACAGAATTCTGTTGCAGAGCTCTCCAGTTTTGTGCTCTTAGGATCAGGGCTCATCCTTTACACACGTCTTCTTTTTTTTCTAATTTGTTTTTTATTTTCTTATTTATTACTTTTTAATTTTCAACTGAGGATATGTTTACAGATTTTTAGAGAGAGATTAGAATGAGAGAGAGAGAGAGAAACAGCAATGTGAGAGAGAAACATTGATCCATTGCTTCCTGTACATGCCCGGCCCCACAAACGGGGTATGACTGTAAATCCAACCTTCAACCTTTTGATGTACAGGACAACGCTCCAATCAACTGAGCCACCCGGCCAGGGCACACACATTGTCTTGTGTGCATGTGAGAACTACTGAGCTTTGTTTTCATGGGTATTTTGTTAAAGCAAATGTGCATATTATAGGTGGCACGCTGACTACAGGGGAAGCTGCTCTATGCATCTGTAGTAGTTGTGAGGGCTTTCCTAGCAGTCAGTATTCATATGACCTGGGATCTGTAATATTTCTCTGTAACCCACAGGGACGTTAGGATTTTAATTCACCTTTCCTGTCACTATGTACTGTGACTATCTGGTGATTAGCTTTGATTTTTTTTTTTTTTTTTAAGATTGGAGTGCTTTACTATTTCCTGTGTTAGTTATGGTCTGTTTTTATTTTTATTTTCTGAGAGTAGCATGAATGATATATGTCCTAAAAGTAGCTCTTGTTTTGTAAAACATGGATTGATACAGGTCTGTCTGTTACTTTTGATGGAAAAAGAGAAGATTACTTTCCTAATCTAATGAAATGGGCCTCTGAAAATGGAGCTTCGGTTGAGGGTTTTGAAATGGTTAATTTCAAAGAAGAGGGCTTTGGTTTGAGAGCCACAAGAGATATCAAGGTGAGTTTATAAATTGTTGGTCTGGGGGGGAGTCTAAGTGTGTCTGGATTGTGTCATGTAGAGGACACAGGACGTGGAGACATACCTTGGGCTTGTTCTGAGTCTTGTGGGTGGGGGAGGGCGAAGGTGCAGCCAACACTGCCCCTCCTGCTGCAACAGTCCTCTAACTGACCCCCTGTTCCAGGCAGCCCCTTGCTGCTCATCCTCATTGGGAGCTGTGCTAATAACCAGTGACCGGGGGCAAGTCAGCTCACATTTCTGGGCCTCTGTTAGGAGACCATAGAACATGCCAAGGGATTCTGAGATTTAAATATAGAGAAGGATGTGGGTTCAGGTGGTTTGCTGACAGAGCACAGAACTACATCCTGTGGTTGATTGGATGTAGGTGGAGGCAGGGTTGGGGGTTTGGCAGTGTAGGGGATGCTTACCAGTTTTCTGGAATGGGTAACAGAGTGGTTGGAGGCACCACTTACTGGACTGGCAAATCACGGCTGATAGGAAAAGAAGAGAAATAGACACCTGCTGAAGGACAAATGCTTTTCTTTACTCTTGGTCCTTCCAGATGGAGGGAGCAGCCTCTCCTGCCTCTCACTCTTGCCTCTCACTCCTGCCTCTCAACAGGAATACTCTGATGATTTTGGGAGAAGGAACTGGGGTTGGTCTTTCTCAGTGAGAGCTGCTGCCCACATGCGTTCGCTGTGCTGTGCTCTCTCCACCCTCTAAGTTTTCCAGGGGCCGGCCACACGTGGGGAGGCCTCTGGGGTTCCAGTGCTGCCTGTAACTAGGTGGGAGGTCTGTCTAATTCTGGGATTCAGTAAGTGGTATTTTGGGTGAACGTCTGTTGGAGTCTTGTGTCTCTCTCATTTGGTTCAGAACTTGGGGAGAGGAAGTGGGTGTTATTAGATCCCCTCAAACTTCTAGCAACATTTTTGGCCAGCTGGTAGTTACCCTTTCGATGATACATTGTTAAACTGGTTTATTAGATGTGTATTAAATAATCTAGTATGCCAGCGTACCTTGCTTATTATACCAGGCTTCCAAAACACACAGGTTCCTTCCTTCATGCTGCTTATAGTCTGTAGTAAGGGACAAGGCACACATGAACGTAATTCAAATAGTAGATAAATGGACGTTGGTAAACAGCAAGAGTAAACGAGATAGCACACATGCTTCTCATGCATCAGACGAATAGCATCGTTAGTGTGGATGCTGCCCTAAATACCTTAGCTGTGGTTGGTTGTCACTAAGTGCATGTTTTTTAAAAAGCTTTATTGAAACTGATATGTAAAAAATTGCACATGTTTAATATATACATTTTGCTGAGTTGAAACATCTGCATGATAGCATCACCCTGGTCAAGGTACTGTATAAATACACATACAGAACATACTGGAAAAGGCATTTCATTGCCAAAGCATGTGTCTTGTGGGCTTGTGTTTTTGCTAGTAACTGTCGTGTTTTAAAGACAGGCACATAGAAGAGGGACTGTTACTCCAGCTTGAAACATTGTAAGGTATTCTACTTCACATGGGTAGAGTCAGGTTTTTGTTGGAGGTAGAAATTTTGTCTTGTTTTTAGCACTTACAAATATAAATACAACAAAGAATAAAATAAACACCTTTGTGCTTCACCCCAAGTTGTTATATTTGCTTCAAATTAGAGTCGAAAGTTTCTTGTGGTTGTCTTCTCAGTATATATAGTTTTTCTACTGGAGACAGGATTTTAAAGCAGCTTCCATTTATTTAAAAGCACCATAAATGCTTACAGTTGAGGTACTTTTGGGAACTAAAAATGTGGTGCTGATATGTACCCTGAAGTTGTCCATGTATGATGGGGTTTTTGCCCATAGACACAATTGGAGTACAGACTATAGTATGTTGTATTTTCATGATTCTGTTTTCTTATTTTTTCCCTTCTAGGCAGAAGAATTATTTTTATGGGTTCCACGGAAATTACTAATGACTGTTGAATCTGCTAAAAATTCTGTTTTGGGTGAGAATAATTTCTGAATGTTCAAAGCAAAGTGAAAATGATAGAAATATATAAAATTTCATTTTGTGGAGCTAAGGATATTTGGTTGTTTTCTCAATTAGTGAACTTTCCCCCACAATTCATGTTAGGTGTTTCCCATGCTTATAATCTGACATAATAGATGAATGTCAAAAGAGAGATGCAAGTTACTTAAAACGTTATAGGATTGTTTAGTTTCCATAACTTTAATCATGTAAATGAATACTTTTAAAAGAAGTTGTAGAACTTATGCTATTAACTTCTGGGTTACTCTAGGACCCTTATATTCTCAAGACCGAATTCTTCAAGCCATGGGAAATATTACACTGGCCTTTCACCTGCTGTGTGAGCGTGCCGACCCTAACTCCTTCTGGCAGCCCTACATTCAGACCCTGCCCAGCGAGTACGACACCCCTCTCTACTTTGAGGAAGATGAAGTCCGGTCTCTGCAGTCCACACAGGCTGTCCACGATGTCTTCAGCCAGTATAAGAACACAGCTCGGCAGTACGCCTACTTCTACAAGGTCATCCAGGTGAGCTGTTGGCCACTCTCTACCTGTCTGTGTGACAGGGTGAGGGAGAAACTGATCCCACAGGTGTTCCACTGTGTCCCTCAGTAAGAATGCATCAACAGTTTGCTTTTTTACATTGTAAGGTGTTCTAGTCCATTGTTGCCGTTTTCACAGAACTGTCAAAGATGGTTTGACTATCTGACTTCATCAGTGTCCAGTGTTAATATAAACAGCAGTTGTTACATATTATGACTAATAGTCACTGAGTTCTGAAAACAGATTACAGTAAAAATTCAAACCTCTAAAATATAGCACAGTGCTCGGCGTATAAATTTTCCTAGAAAATGAAAGTCCATTTGTGAGTTCTTGTTGTAAAATATTGACAATTTACTAAATTATAATGCTGATTTGTTTTTTTCAAAGTATACTGTATATTTTATTAATTTTAATTAGCCCTAAGTAAAAGAGTCATATAAAAATCTCCATAAGGTTGGGAACATGGTCTCAGGGCCCATGGCTGATAGGACAGCTTCCTGTAAGACACTTGAAAGATACTGTAATTGAAGCCACCCTCCACCAGCCAGTGTGGCGGTGATTGAGAAGAGAGGGCTCTGGGGCCAGCCAGCCAGGTGCAGATTTCTGCAGCGCCACTTGGAGCTGTGTCATCTGGGCAAGTCTCTGTGCTTCCATTCTCCAATCTGTAAAGTGGGATAGTACAGCACCTGACTCCAGAGTTGCTGAGCGGATGAAATGCATTGATCTATGTGAGGCCTTCAGTATAGTCGGACTTAATAGAAATGCTCAATTAGTGTTACCATTTTGTGTTTTGATCCTTCAGGCCACATTGTCTATTTTATTTGCTTATTTTTTTAATGGTTTTAAATAGCTTCTCACCCTGTCCCCACAGTACTTTATGTTAGTATTTCTTAATCTTTTCTACTAAGAAACTCCCATTCATAAATGACCCATCACAAGCTCAGAATGGTTAAAATCTCTCATGTTTTGTTGCTGGGTTTTGGTCTCATGTTTTTAAATCTTAAAAATTAATGCAAATGTTGGTGTGCTAAAGTCATGTGTAATGACTTACTGTAATGTCAGATTGGCATTGTGGGAAAACTGCCCCATCTCTCCTGTGACCCCCACATGCCACTGGGTGCCCCGGAACCCACATTCCAGTGGGAGAAGCACTGCTTCCCATGTGGCAAACGCCATCACCCCGACAGTGTGTCAGTCCAGGTGTGGTTCTTCCTCAGAAGAACCCAATGTCACCGTCACTTAACATTAGTACAAATAGGCAGCAGAAGGGAATCATTACAAAGTGAAACACGTCATAATTAGCTTTGTAGAGAATTTCTTACCCAGTGATTTAGTTTCAGAATGGGATGCGCTGTGTGACATCAGGAAGATATAGGCTATGGAATAGAAGAATTTTGCATAAGGATTTGTTACAAAGAAAAACAGACTTAAGCAAAAGTTTTTAAAACATCAAATTTTGAGTCTAGCTGTTTTTCTAGTTTTAGAATGTTCTCATTGCTTCTGCAAGTCATAAGTAGCAGTCCCAAGTAAACACAAATGTTGGCATTGTACTGCCGTTGTTTTATTAGAACCAGGTTTCTCACACCAGCACCAAGCCGTATCTCTCATACATTTCCAGGATCAGATGTGGGGCCCCTGCTCTTTGCAGTGGATCACTTCATCGGCACATTATCACTGAGGGAGAAAGTGAGTAGTGTCACATCAGTCCATAGTTACTGTTTCATTACAGTGACCTGCCTTCAGTGGTGTTTTTTTTTTGCATTATGACTCAACCTTTTTTAGTGTCAGGGAAACCCTCTTCTCAGAGAAATGCACATGTCATATCTCACAGACACTTGTATACCATTTGGAGGTTCAAATTCTTGAACTGGATTTTGCTCTTTTTAGTTTGACTTCCCATTTAAAGTCATCTTCCTGGGGCCTGTACCAAGCAGTGCATCTGAACCGAAATCCATTGATTTCTTCTGAGCTCATGCTGGCTGGGGGTCTGCCAGCCACGGCTGTTGGCCACTGTCTCATGATGCCCCAGCCATGTGACAGCGAGCAAGGCTCAGTTTCATGTGTCTATGGTGGTGAAAGCTCATAGTCCAGCCTTATATCTTGCTTCAGACTTTAGGATTTTTATTGCAAACGAGAAGAAGCACTGGCACTAATGTCCACTGATTAGCAGTTTCTTCAGAGAGATTTCTCTTTATGGCATTTTTTATCCAGTGTTTCTCTTTCTCTCTGTTGCCTATAAACTAGAAAAAGAATTTCCTGTGTTCTTTCCTCCCAGCATATTTCTTTGGTCAAAGGCCTTTTAGTGGCCACTTGCTAGTTCAGATTATTTTCTGTCTTTAACTTGCTTTACCACATTTTCTTAAACAATCTTTCCTGGCAAGTCTCCCAATCTTGTTCTTCAAAATCGTTATAACAATTATTTGCCATTTGCTGTTCCATCTAAATGTTAGGATTACTTTGTTGTATATCACAGAAACCTTATTGAAATTTTTGTTAACTACACTGAATTGTCTCATTCTTGGGTATTCTTTGCTATCTTTTAATGAATTTGTATAATTTTTTTTTCCCCAGGGGGAAAAACCCTAAAATATAAAGTAGTCTTTCTGGGCTCCTGGTGGTAACAGGGGCCTGGGTCTTATGGTTTTTATATTGTATTTATGTTGTATCCTTCTTGAGATAGTATACAGTGAGTCCTTTAGGTGTTAAACAGTTGATAGTATGTGTGTATCCAGAAGCCTCAAGCAGGTCCTGATAACCGTTTTATTCAGTGTGTATAGTCTTGTTGAGATGCCACAGGAATTTAACTCTTGTTCATATCACTTGGCCTATGGTAAGATTGGTTTCCTTACATGTCATTTTGCTTAAAGTCACAGAACCCATCCACAACGTTGAGGACTGACTACTGTACCTTGTACATGAAGCACCTGCTGGTGAAACTTCATACTGTAGCTTAACGGTTGAGGAATGTTGACACCCAAAGCTAAATTTAGAAATGTGGTTCAGCCAAATTCTGGGAAAGGCGAGTGTGCATCGACAGCCCTAAGTGGTAACATTTCTGTCAATTTGTGAAAGGGAAACCAGGGGAGAAGACAGGGTTAACAGCAGAAGACAGTTTAATGGCATTTACAACTGCTTTGGAGTATTAAACCCATAAAAATACTCGTAGCAGATTAGGTCATTCCAGAGTTCAGCTCCAAGTTGGGTGTTTTGCCTGGAAATGGTCAGTTTTGTGGTAGAAATTAGTGGAAAAGTAGAATTTGACTTAAACCCAGCTCTGAAGTAATGTATTTGTGTGAAAGTGAAACAGGTTATATCAGATTTGACTTGATTTACCATAGATGAATGCTAGTCCAGATATTTTTCATTCACATCAGTGAAAAGGAAATGAGATCCTGGGAATGAACTGCTCATTTCATTGATAATCCCATCTAATGGACCAGGACCTGCCACATGGGATGCCAGCTTGTCCAAACATTAAAGGCTCGCAGGGACACGCACATTTTCCTGTGCTGTTGAGCTTGGCATGGTGCTCTCTAAGTGAATGCGAGTGACCAGGGTTTGACAGAATAGCGGCATAGTTATAAAGTTGCTGTTTTCCATGGACCTCATAATTGAAGTGATTTGTCCCACTTTACTTGTGTTTCCTCTTTGGTGTTGGTCAAACAGTTTGAGAGGTGCAGGGGAAGGCATGCGGATGCAGAGACTCTTTATCCATTGACTGTGTGAATGTCACTTCAAGGCTGCAGCCATTGCAGCAGTGTCCCCGTGTCCTGCCTCACGCTTCAGGCAGTGGAGCAAGCAGTCAAGTTGGCTGTTCTCCTTGAACAGTTAGCTTCTCCTACCAGGCTGTCATGGCAGAAGATTGGAGTAGGCATACTCACAACTTGCTGAAAACAGGGCCACCAAGAGGCAGAGGAAGACGTGGAGCGGTTGTGGCTGAATACAAGCAGTCACTTCTCCCATTTTTTGTGTTCTCCTTGTGACAGAGCAGCACAGGAGGTAAATTGCCAGAGATGGCTTTTTCCTGATGCTCACATCTACATATAGAAGTCTGATCATACACAAGGCCTTAGGAATGAGCATCCAGGTGGAATAAAGACCTCCAGGCATTAGCATACTTTAAAGATCCCAACACCCTGAGACTCTGTGAGTCAGCATCTGAAGCTGTTGTAGATGTGTTTGTGGACGTGGACATGGACTTGAGCGGCACTGGGAGGAGCAACGTGCAGTGCATTTCTGTGACTGCATCTCCTCTGGTGGCAGTTTTTGTAAGGTGGTTTTCCACATTGTCTTCCCAGGTAGCGGGGGGGCGGGGGGGGGGTCTCTGTAGTCAGCAGAGACTCTGCCTAGAAACCAATGTCAGAGTCTCCTTCCCAGATGAACCAGCCCACCACCTCCTCCTGACCTTGCATTTACTGTCTTTCTGTTTTTAATCCGTTGTATCCTCTTGATTGTTTATTCAACTAGTATTTATTGTCTCTCAAGTGCAAGGTACCACACCTGGGGACAGGGACTAGTATTGCTGGAGATGCAAGATTTTTTTTTAACTTTTTATTTTGAAATACCTTTTTAGACTCCCAAAAACGTTGCAAACATAGTACAAAGTTGAAAGTCTGGCTGTGGATACTGATTCTTAGACACCATTCTCCTGACCTCCTTCCCACTTCAGTTTTCCCCTTGAGGTGAATGTGTTCCATCCATGACATTCTGTTCGTTCTCTGGAGCTTCATGGCAGGGTCACATCTTCTCCTGACCGAGGGGTGGGGGAAAGGAGCAGAGGCAGAGGGCAGGTGGAGGGGGAGAGAACGCCCATGGAATTGCCTGGAGGTGTTAGAGTCATGACTCAAGATTTATTCCTTGGGTTGTGATAAGATGAACTGGGTAGAGATTCCAGGGCGGAGGAGAGAAAGAATGATTTCTATTTTCAGGTTATTTATCTGAGTTGACTGGGGGCCTTTTTCTGTGGTACAGTAGTGTTCTGTGCT